ATATATAAAAAATATTTATACAAAAATCCCCCAATAAAACCTACAATTTGTAACTCAAAAGTGGTCAGTTTTAGGAATGGGGGCTAAAGTTACTTTAGTTCCATAGAACTGAGCTTAAGCCATCTGCATATTAAAAACTAAAAGCACAGAGAAAATATCTTCCTAAAATGGCCTGAAAAGATTCTATTTACTGGTTGCAAGACAAGAAAGATTTTACTGTTTATCACCTTGACTCAACACTTAGGAATCTCCATTTGGTTCTGAGATGAGACAGTGGAAAAAAAAAAAAGGCAAAATTATCTGGCTTTGGTAACACAGCTGGTTCCACAATGTTATACTGACTACAGCTCTAAAGCAAAAAAAAAAAAAACCAAACAAAAAACAGAAAGAAGCAAAAAACCAAAACAAACACTGAGAGATTAAAAGAAGCAAAAGCAAGAAGACTACGTAATTTCCAAAAAAATGCATTTTGAAAATTCTTTCCTAATAAGCCAAGAATTGTGGCTGTCTGGAGCTGGAGAAACATAACAAGACACGTTCTTGCCAGCTTTTACAGCTGGATGGGGTAATGTATACTCCAGACTCAGGGGTATGCATCTAGGTAATGGTCCATTTAGGTAACAGTGACAAGTTTTGTATTTTCTACAGTTTTCTGAAGTTTTTTAATGATCACGACAAGTTTGACCACCTTCTCATTAAAAAGAACCTGAAACTTTGACAGCAGTCAAATAAGAACAAATTTTATGTTTGCAGATCGTCAACTAATATAAATCACTGTATCTCTGTTGGCCTCAATGAAATTACTTGCAAGGCATTTGAAGACACTCTACCATATCAATATGTCCTAACAGTTTTAAGACATAGTTGTCAATACTCTCATCAGATATACATTCCTCAGATTTAACCTAATGGTCTAAATATAGTTGTCAAAGGAATCTTAAACTTGCCTTTGTTTACCTCTTTGCTTCTAACACGTATTTACCACTCTCCATTTAATCAGAACAAACTGCTTTACCCAATAGTATGCAACAGCCTGTATGTTTTCAGCCCTATCAGCCCTTTTTTAAGTCTTGTATTTTAAGTGTATTTCCAAAAGATGCCTGAAAACTGTTCTCCGACATTCGTCTTCTGAAAAATGCCAAAACTGGAGGACAAATGGGACACAGTTCTTAATTCACTCAACATTTCAACTGCCCAGGGATCCACTGGTCACTCATGTCTTCATTCACATGGGAAACAATGTATCACACTCATTACAGCATGCGCTTCCCTGCATAAAATATCTCTGAACAATACTAGGCCTGATTTTAATTTCTGTTTCCCAGTCAAAAAGACAACGTAGTTGATGAGCTGTGTGGAAACGGGCTGTCCATGCAAAATTTACCACAAACACTCAGTTAAAGTCCTAAGGGACTGTGGGTCCTATGCTGCTCTTTTTCTATAGCTCAATGTCAGATTTATTATCCACTTCTACTTACTTGGAAATCAATCACTACACATAATTGATTTAACAGAATTAAGCTAAGATTTCTATGCTTGTGGGAAAGCATGTGGTGATGAGTCTGTTTCACTAACTACAGACTTTTGGTACGTACACCTTGTACTGCAACAAAATCTCCCCTCTAACTCATATTAGGATGGTGATAAACTATGAATTTATTTTTTGAGAGTTGTCTGTATATCCTAATTTATCAGAGGCAAATTAGCAGGACAATCTCTTGGAAGATGGTGTGCATTTTTAGAAACCAAATATAGTGTTCTTTGGTAGGGAAATCATATTTGGATGCAATGTCAAAATAAATTTAAGCAATTATACTAACTAGTTATTTTTGTCTAGATTTCTTTAAGTATGTATTACTCAGGGGTGACAGGGGTGGGAAGGACAGAAAGAGTGAGAACAAAGTAAAATGTGACAGGTAAGACACCAATATGGCATCAGGCATAATAATTGTTCAGTGTAGGCACCTGATCTATGCAAAAAAGGAGTTCAACACAAAATCCTACCAAAATTGAGTAAGTTGACGTATGTGTTTTAGAGTGAGAACCATCTAAATGACTCATTTGGCAAGAGATGTATACATATTAAACAAAAGGCCAGTACCTTACAGTGGTACCTTAAACCTTACATTACCTACATCAGTGATACCACAAAGCTACAGATCTGCATAAAATCAGTCTTGTGGGTAAATAGCACTGGCACAAACAGTGCCTCTGCACTGCAGAGCAGGCTACACCCCATTATGATACAATGCTTAAAATGATATTTCTGGATTTGGGGAGTCGAACAAAACGCCAGAAAATAATCCTAAAGTATAACTAATTACTTCTCAGGAGTTTAGATACATGCATATTTTCCATCAAAAGTTAAAAGGATCCAGCATGTAAAATGTCCCAAAATAGGTTAGAAATCCTTGGTTTCCTACCAGAAGTTAAACAGTCTCCATCATTTAGTGTTCTTTATTTCAAAGTCATTATTGTGCTAGTAGGCTTACAGACAGTAACATTTATTTTTCTTATGGCTATATTTTATTTTTATTATAGATATATTTTTATACTGTCACAGTAGTATATATTACATGTTCTTTTACATCTAGACTAGCAGAAGTTTTTGCCAGTATGTGTATATAGTCATACCTAAGTATTATATTGTGCAATCAATATATTTGCAAACAGCATGCTGACAGGTCTTCACCTAAATGACAATGGTTTCAAGGCAAAGAAAAAAAATAAACCACACCTTTATTTGTAAAATCCAATACAGAGTACTACTAAGTCGTCTCTGCCAAGAGTTGCACCAGAACATCTGATTGCTGACATCCAGTTGTGAAGTTTGGTGAGGTCAGCTATATCTGCACCAAAAGATCAAAGGACAGAAAAAAGGAGCAAAATACATACAAAGGCTCTCCCTCTGCAAGCTACATCACGTTCTCTAGCATATGACTTTTCATTTAAACAGCCTTTCTTTATTTTATCTATGCTTTTCGAGCATAAATATCTAAGTTTGGAAGTCAACATCTTTTTACTGCTTTTTTTCCAGTCCTGGAAGGGAAACTTAACGTACTAACAACCAAGCACAGAATAAAAAGCAGTTCTGACCTACACTGGCTGAAGTTTGTTACAATCTTCCCAAACTTTTTCTTCTGCTATGGACATCTTACACCATACAGATGTGTAGTGTTCTTTAACTGACATAATTAAAATTAAAATAATGAATATTTTAAAGTGATCTGGATGACAGCCTGAGAAAATGGCTTGGAGTCTAAAACACATTCTGTCAGTTTCCTGAAAATCAATCACTATTAGTTTGAGATTCCAGACTTACTGCATTCCATCTGGTATGAACAAATGTTTAAATAGTACACAATTAATGACAGAAAACTGATATGAATTAAACCGTTTTACAGGAATTCGTTAGAGGTTGACATTATTTCCTACATTCAGGGAAAGTTGTTGCTGAAGTCTTAATAATATGTATCTGTCACAAAATATTGCTTCTCCTGCCTTCTACAGCCAAAAAGGGTACAAAAATCAGCAAAACAAATTAAGAAGTGCCACCTTCACCATGCATTATCTCGCTTATTATTTAAATATTTATTTGTTTTTCAGCAATCCCTTTTCCCAACTGATATATACAGAAAACTTTTAGCTTAAAATAGATTAAATTTTAATCATATTTGTATCATATAGTGTCATACATATTTTCAGGCCGTATACCATTCTCATCCACATCAGGTCCCCTCCATCAGCATGTCTTTAAGTCATTGGTTAAAGGCCTGGTTGATCACGGGAAAATTCTAAATATGAAGTCCTTCAAACATTTTATTGAAGCAGCTCTTTCAGTTCATCATGCATTCATAATTTCTGCAAGAAATTATAATTTCAGAGGTCCAGTTCAGAGTTCTGTGACACACATAGAGATAAATGCTCATTATGCTACCAGTGTGCCCTTGTAGCAAAACAAAAGGTGCCAGCACATCCTGGGCTGCATTAGGAGGAGTATTGCCAGCAGGAGGAGGGATGTGATCCTGCTACTCCTCTGCACTGCTGAGGCCACACTGGAGTGCTGCGTCCAGTTCTGGGCTCCCCAGTACACAAGAGATATGGACATACCGGAGAGAGCCTAGGAAAGGGATGCAGAGATGATGAACAAAGCAAAGCATTTCTCCTCTGAGGAAAGTCTGAGAGAGATAGGACAGTTCACCCTGGAGAAGCGAAGGCTCAGATCTTATTAATGTGTACAAATACCCGAAGGGAAGGCGCACAGCAGATGGAGCCAGACTCTTTACAGATGTGCCTGGTGACAAGGCTGGAGGCATGGGCACAAACTGAAACACAGGCGAATCCCTAGAAACATCAGGAGACACTTTTTCACTGAGGGTGAATGAGCACTCAAATGGATTTTTTTTCCCACTGGATGGTTCTAGAATGTGCAGCAGTACCACAACAGCCCCTAAAATGCATACCACAGCCCACCCCTTTGTCATTCCTTGCACCTTTCTCACCTTCTCACATTAGTGTGGCTGCTGTGAGCTCACTGTTTCTGGGCCAACTCTCCACAACCACATATGGCTTCTTTACACAGGGTGCTTTTCCTTCCTAACGACTCAGCTCAATAATATGCACCAAATTCAATTGTTACCTCAAGTAAAGACCACCAGGGAACAGGGGTGGACTCAGGCCCACTCAGTATGGGATCCATCACCATTAACTAACTATTCCCGAACAAACATACAGCTCACATCAGTGGCAGTCCACAGAGAAAAACCGTCACAGGGCACATGTGGCTGGGGGGTGAGCTGGGACCCCTCCCAAGCTTCTGGGAGTCTCAACAAAGCAACCGCCAAGTGCCGAAGGCAGGGGATGGAAATCGGCACTGGTGGAAAACCGAGGTCTCTCTTCACCCCACCAAAGTAGTAGGGCAGAAGTGCAGTAAATTCCACGACACCAACACCCCCCCCCCCCCCCTCCCCCTGCTCCAGTCTAAAAGGCTCATTGCCTAATGCTCCCCACCCCACCCACCCCCCACCTGGGCCGGCCTCTCCATCATGGCTACAGGGAGATGGGGTTTCCCTTAATCAGTTCAGTGGGTGTGCGCGTTTCAATAGCACAGTCATCAAGGCCCGAGCTGGACAAACAATCAAACCTGACGCTTATCTTATCCTAGCAAAGACTGCTGGTGTGGAAAATTCACCAAAAAGAAAAAAGTAGTATGAAACTATAACAATCCATTAGTAAACAAGCCTACAATCAAAGCTACTTGGTGCAAAAAAATATGCAATAAGTGATTTTAATGTTAGGAAAGGCCCTGAGCAGTACGCTTTTATGTCTCCGTGGTTTTTTTAGGAGTAGAATTCAAACATCAATCCGTATTGTAAATTCACACAATTGTAAATTCTAGACAGCATTCTCATCAAGAGGAGTCAGCCATGGCATTTTCTTGGCACAGCCACAGAGAGAGAATCCATCTATCCATCTGCAGTCGGAGCTGCAATCCAAGGTGGGTCACGTCCCTAAAAGCACGAGGTATAAGATGCTATTTCGCCCCCTACTGTCCTGGGGCAGGCTCCGGAATCCGTACCAGTGGCGATCCTGTAATCGTCCCTTGTCTTCACGTCCAAGCATTTCCAGCAGCTACAGTTTCATTATTAAAAAGGTGTCTAATAGAACTGTACCAGCGTTTGACCCTTAATTTACTCTGCTTAGGAGATCCACAAAGTAACTCAGAAGAAAAAAACCCAGAGAGAGTCTCAGGATGCTGTTGTCTTTGAAACTGCAGCCCAGTCAACTACAGTTTCTTGGAGAAAGATTCCTATGTGAATAATCTTCTTTGCCATAACTGCATTTTCTTTCTCTCCATACTATATCCTATGAGTAAAGAGCTCTGCTTAGCCAGCATAGTTCAGAATTCTGCAATTACATGGTGTGACATGTGGGAGCACCTAGAGATCCTCAGATTATCTACAGAAATTAGTGTTGTAACAAAGTCCCCAGTCCAGAATGATGAAAAAAAAAAAGAAAATCATGGGAATTGGGAAAGCAGGAAATCCTGGCTCCTAGTTCCAGGGTATGTGCTCTACATAACTTTCAACCAGAGGAATATGAGCCTAAACAAAACAAAAACAAAGCACTTTGTGAAAACAAGAGTAAGGCATGTACGTAGAAAAATATATCAATTTATAGGTTAAAAGGGCATTCATAAACACCTAAAATTATTATCTCAGGGAACATACATACAGAAAACAACCTAAGAAAGCACTGTAACCTTTCAACAGTCACTGAAATATAACAAAATTTAACTAACAGAAATGCAAGAGGCAACATGAAACATATTTCAGCTTTAAGGCTGGTTTACTTACAAATCCAGCAAAAAACTGCGAACTTCAGCGGGTAAGAACACATTCAGTGTTTCTCTAAGGGACATCCACCTTTCTGGTTTTTTATACATATAATGACATATGACTGAGCACTTTTCTCCAGTCCTTTTTTTTTTCCTGAAGGAGAACATACAGAAGGGTCCACCAGGCCTTCTTGGGGGAAGGGGGTTGGAGGTATCAATGAAGCAGATGATGATGATGACATTGCAAGCCTTCAGATAAGAGACAATTCAGTCATGCACAGTTAATGCCTTGTGAAACAACTTGTTTCGGAATAATGTATTAATTTCTAAACGACAATCAAACGCAGGAGTTAGGATTCAGAATTACAATCGCCTCTCCGCATTCAGCCTTGAAGACAAGCGCTCCCATCTCTCTTCGGAGTCAAGGAAGGTTATACACACCTGCTTATCATTTAAAGATACGTGGTTTAGCGCCTAGCGCGACTGTTAAAATAACAGAAGCCCAAGCCGACAAAATGACGTGTACACTGCCAGCCCCCGCCCCTGCCCGCGTCCCGCCCGGCGCTCCCCACAGTTCGCGCTGCCCCGGAAGCGTTCGCCGGCTGCCGGGGCCTGCGGGAACATGGCCGAGTCGCCGGAGGAGGTGGCGGTGCTGGTGCAGCGGGTCGTGAAGGACATTCGCAACGCCTTCCAGCGCAACCCGCACATGTGAGTGCGGCCGGGCCCGGGCCGGGCGGGAGGAAGGGAGGGAGCGCTGCCCGCCCTCCGCCCCGTGCTCGCCCCGTGGTCGCGGGCGGGCGGGCGGGGTGCGGGTCCCGCCGGGGCCGGGTGCTGGGGCCAGGGCCGGTTGCCGGGCCCAAGGTCACGCCGTGAGTGACCGCGGGGACCAGCCGGGTTTTCTCCGAACTGCCGTGGCACCTGTGCCTGTCGGGGCAGGGCGCAGTGCCCCCGCGTGTTCGGTGCGCTGCAGCCGCCTCAGCTTCCCCCGGTAGCGCGGCGGACCTGCCCCGGGAGCCTGGGCCCCTGAGCGCCGCGGCCGCTGGGGATCCACAGCCTGGCGGCGAGAACCGCCTCGTTGGTGAAAGGTATCGAGTCACGGACACCAGCGGGGCCTCCGGAAACTGGAAGCGATGAGTATATTTTCAAAGAAAAGTTCTGAAGGGAACTTTCCTCGCGCTTGACGTCTGTAGGTGGTAAACTCATCGCAGCGTCGGGGTGGGGCTGAGCTTTGCGGGCGGGTGGGTCAGCCCTGCCGAGCCCCGCGGGACGCACCGAGGTCTGTGTGTGCCTGGGGTAGAGCATCGGTGCCGGTGGGAACAAAGCTCGGGATTGAAGCCCACTGAATTGCACCCTTACACAAACAGTGCAGTGTGTGAATGCCACCCTCAAATCTGTATCTGTTGATAGAGATGCCAGTGTGTTGTTTTGAAGGAGACAGAATGACCGTGAAAATGCAAACTGCAGTTATGGCTCTCTTGTGAGAATCAGATTTATCCAACAATCTGTGGGGCAGATGGTCTGTGTTTTATTTTCGGTTTCACTGTTGACCAGCTTAGACACCCTGTTTAAAGTACCTCCCTTATTTCTTTTTCCTTCACAGCCATTGTTTTAAGACACCAGTGGTTTAGGGAAGCATCTTTTTATCTATTTATGCAAGCTCGATGTTGGTTATGGCAAATGAGGTACCACATAATGAATAACACCTTCATAACTTCAGTGAGGTAAATTTGTGTCAGTTGGGAACACTGCAGTCTCTGAGGTGGTGGCCTATTAATCTGTTCCAGAAAATGGTAGGCTAAGCAATTACGTAGGAAATTTTATGGCACTTAATTTATCCCTTTGCTTAAAAGAGAGAATTAGAATAAATATCCTCACGTTTCTGTAAATGTAGTAAGCAACTTGGGTGGGTGTTCAGGTTTTAAATTGCAGCATATGGATGCTGTTTAAAAAAAGACTGCATTTTGCCTTGAGCTTCATTTTTAGCATGTGAGGCATAATGTGCTGTAAACGGTCGATATTTATGAATGAATGTTCTGATTCTTCTAAGTTCCCACTCCTTCACCAGAATTGTTTATTGGTAGCAAACTGAGTTTTTGAAGGATATGCTGCTGTTGCAGTTTTTTGTTATAAATGTAATCTCAGAGATGAAAGCACGCTGCAAGAGTTGTGTGCAGTGAGACTGATGTACTGTGTCATGCTTCAGGTGAGAAAGCACAAACTACTGCAAGTTTATCCCCCAAAGTAGAAAAAGTGGCAATTCTGTCTGCTAGATTTCTTAACTGGTTGATGCTATTTGAAATGGGACCATGCAGGCCAGTGTAGGTTGTGGGCCCTTTGCTATGCTGCCTCTCTGCCTCTGGAGCACCAAGTTTCACATAGTTCACAGAATAGTCAGAGTTGAAAGGGACCCAGAAGGATCATCGAGTCCAACTGTGAAGTGAATGGCCCGTTCAGGGATCAAACCCACAACCTTGGTGTTATTAGCACCATGCTCTAACCAGCTGAGCCAATCTAAGTTGCAGCTCTGCTGTCTGGATGTTTTCATGTATCTGCATCTTGTCCTCCTGCTGGTGGCCAATGCAGTTGTAACCAGCTGCAGTCCCTAAAAGAAGGTATCCTCTTGAATTCGGCATGTCTCAGATCCAGGCTTCAATTCGTTTATGTGGGATCTGCCTAGCTTCACTGAAAATAAGGAATCTGCCACAGGCATAATGTTCCTATTCACTTGTCATACTTTTGTCCCCTACTCACCTCTTTTCCTGTGTTTATTGACCCTTGTTTTTGACTGTTTGTGCACCTTCCCACTTCATGTCTCTCAGAATGGATGTGTTGTTTTGGCAGGTTCATAGTTTTGTAAGCTTTAAAATAGGATCAGCACTGAAAAGCACTGAAAATACAGTTTTAGACTAAGTAGAATTTAGGATTTATGTTTCTCTCTTTTTTTTTTTTTACTTTAAATGAAATTTGCAACAAGACTGTACATCTTTTTAAGATGAGCTTACTTCTAAGTAAATATACAGTGCAAAATTCTTTTTGCCTTTTCTTTCTGATAGCTCCATTTTCCTTAGTTAGATAACTGTGTCAGCATGCTAGTTTTCAAGATTCTAAGGCGTCTTTTGAATTTACTGGGAGGTATTTTTACCCAGTCTTCCAACCACAAGTCTTGGTAAGGTCATTTATGTGAGCTATCCCACTGGAACTGAACAGATCACCAACAGTGAACAGATCAATACATACTTTTTCTTTGAACTTTGCTGTTCTTTTACGTGTAAAGTGAAGCAGAAATAGAAATGCTTGTCAAAAAAATTCATAGATTTGTTGGGCTAACTGGAAAGATGAACTCTTAGATGGTAGCCCAGCATTTGTGTACAAAATCTGAGGATGCTATTTATGGTTTGCCAAGAATTGTTTATGTCACTGTAGATCGAATATTTTTTCTGTCTCAATTCCTCCCATTCTTAATGTTCTAAAAACACCACACTTCGTTCCGTTAAGTTTGAAGCTCTGAGTCAAGGATGCTCTTGATGGGATTACAAATTTCTCTGCAGAGGATTCAGAAAATAACATAGTCTGTGAAGTATGTATGTAGTGGAGTGTGAAATTTGTCTCACCAATGTAATTTTCGTTATTTGATATTTTTGTGCAGCACTGATACTTCCAAATATACCATAATAAGTAAAAATAATTTGCTTATAGTACTTGGTGAGAGGGGTTATCAGTGCAGAACTTTGTTATTGCCGCAGAAGTTTCCAATCAAGTGGAGATTAATGTGAGAGCAAACAAAAGGAAATTCCTAAACAGTAAAAGTGTCATATTTATAGCTTCTTTAGAAGTAAATATGGGCTAGAAGTAGTTTGGATTTCAGTAATGTATTCCTGCTCTTTTCTTTATGAAAGCTTTTGGTAATGCCATGAAAATAATCACTAATCATAACATGCAAGTTAGTCTATTATTTGAAATTGTAAAAGAGAATCAAGTGTATATGATACACTGCACAATAAAGAGAAGAAATTTCAACTCTTGGATTTAGGCCCCTTCTTCCCTACCTCTGAGATGCTGTAAACTCATTAGCCATGTAGCAATTTCATGAGTCTTATTTTAATGTGAAAATATACACCTATGCCCATGCTCCCGATTGTTTTCCAGTATTAATGTTCTTATAATTGCAGAAATATTCAACTACTTGAGTCTGGTCTTTATTGCCAGTAGAACCGCAGTTGCATCCTATCCGCTGATTGTACCTCATTCAGATCTCCCAGCCATTATTTAACATCCTTCGTCTAACTCTGTGGGGAGAGGTTGTGTTATTTTAAAGATGATCTTCCAGAAAAGAAATTAGAGAAGGTCCCTTCACATGGGGTCTCTAAAGCTGAAGACCCATCATGGTATCATCCCAGGAAACACCTCCTTCCCTAGTGGTACTGTGGTATTACAGTTTTGTGAAAGGGGGAAGATTTTTGTATCATCATGGCTTAAAAGTTGAAAGTAGGTTGGCTAGGGTTTCTTTTGGGGAGGGCCACTGAATGACTGAGTCAACAGACAGGGACTATTGAAGCAGGTCCTACAATGGCTTGTCAGTACTGTTGTGCCACGTCTAAGGTCTGGATTGTGCAGCTACAGATGTCATTTTGCACATCTATGATCTTAGCTAAGGTTGAAGAAGCACTGTAGTGGCTGCAGACTTCATGACAACTCACCTAAAATCTTCCGCTAAGTTCTGACTGCTTCCACAGTGTATTTTAGGAATGTGCTCTTATGTCGTCATCATGGCCAGGGTTCACATTTGTTGCAAGCGTGTTGGTGGCTAAAAAGGCCAATACGAGAGAGGCACGTCCGGTTGCAAAAGGCACAGCAGAAAGACTCCTTAGATGGTATATTCTGCAAGACTCGATTCTTTCTGCATTGTCTTTTCTCCTCAAGGGTGATCCTGCATGCTTTCTCAAAGGCATCAGCAGCATTATAGATGGTCTGTCTCCAAACCTCCCGATTGGAGGCCAGAGTAGACCAGTGATGAAGATCAATATGGCCAAGGCTGAGATGTTGTTTCAGGGAGTCCTTGTATCTTTTCTTCGGGGCTCCTCTCTTGCGGCAGCAGGTGGCAAGTTCGCCATAAAGCAGGATCTTAGGGAGGCGGTGGTCCTTCATCCTGGAGACGTGCCCTGCCCAACGCAGCTGTGTTCTCAGTAACATGGCCTTAATACTTGTGACTGCTGCCTGTTCAAGAACAGATGTATTGGTCACATAATCTGACCAGTGGATGTTAAGGATTGTACGGAGGCAGCGTTGATGGAAGCGTTCTAGGAGACGCAGGTGGTGGCGGTAGATGACCCATGATTCAGATCAGTATAAGAGAGTAGACAGCACTATGGCTCTGTAAACACTGATCTTTGTACTTTTCTTCAGGTGTTTATTTGGCCAAACTCTTTTATGAAGCTTTCTGAAGGCACTATATGCCTTTACTAACCTGTTGTCTATCTCCCCGTCAATCTTGCCATCCGAGGAGATGACGCAACCTAGGTAATTAAACTGTTGGACTAATTTGAGTTCTGATTGGCCGATGG